AACCATCCCAGCAAGCATTTTTTTGTTTTTAAAAGATGTCTAATAAATGTCTAACAGACGTCTAAACATAGTCGTCTTGGCTAAAACAAGGCAATTTGGGCTGTTAAAATCTAATAGACATCTAAGAATAGGCCAACTCTAGTCATCAAACAAACAAAAATGACTGACTACATATATAAAGTCTGTCTGATTTTATAGTCCTCTATTTGATGACTAGTCTAGTTTTGGGCTATTCTTACATGTATATTAGATTTACACTGACACAAGTTCACAAGTTTAGCCTTGTTTTAGCCAAGCTGTCTATGTTTAGATGTCTATTAGACGTTTCTTAAACACAACATTTTTCGCTGGGATGCAAATTCCAACACAGCTACTAATAATTTTTTTTTACAGTGTCATACTCTAATATTGACACTCCTGGTAAATGTGATCAGAAAAAGCTATGAAAAATTTACTTATTGTTTGGTATTTGCATAGAAAAAACAACAAAAAACATTTATTAAGAGAAAATTGCTAACAGCACAGTTTTATAAAAAAACAAAAAAATATGTGCCACAATTATTGGGACACTATAAAGTCAATGAGCAAAATATTTTAAAGTATATTTCTTACTGGTATTGTACATTTTTTACGTTTCTAGAATTAGTTTTTATTTATTTGAGGAAAATAATTTGCTAAAACAAAGTGGCAAACTATTTAATTAAAATATGCAAAACTTCATATTCTCAAAATTCTCTTTAGAAATAAAGTGCAAAAAGAGTTATTAATATTTATACTGTATTGGATTGGCACTCATTCTCCTGCACTTTCCTCAATAAACATGTTTCTTTACATTATTACTGAAGAGACCATTGGAGCACAGAGCACATTAAAGTTTCATACTCTCCAGATACAGCTTCCCAATATCTTTAGAAAACCTACACTTAAATAAATTCTGTATTTTTGAATGAAGAATTATGTAATTTTTTCCCTTGACTGGACATCTCTTTTGGCCAATAGTGAGAACAAAAATCATCTTCATTCTGAGGTCTCTCAATGAGGTAAAAGGATCTTGTGAATCCACTAAATAATGTTTTGATAAACGTTTAAAGATCTAGCATGGTGTCAATATAAGTTGTACATAACATGACACATGGTACATGACAAAGGTTTTGTCATCTATTACAGTTGTAAGAGCAACAAATAACAACTTGATTTCTAGGTAATCATTTGTAAAAGTGGCAGAAGGTAGTTTTTTCAGATGAATCATCTGTTGAACTGCATCCCAATCATCACAAATACTGCAGAAGACCGATTGGAACTCGCATGGACCCAAGATTTCCAAGTTTGGTAAAGGAAAAATCATAGTTTGGGGTTACCTTCAGTATAGAGGTGTACAAGAGATTTGCAGAGTGGATGGCAACATTAACAGCCTGAGGTATCAAGACATTTGTGCTGCCCATTACATTAGAACTAGTTCTGTATGAGAAGGAGATTACATCTTCTGAAGGATAGCACTCCTTCTCATACTTCCCCCTCCACATCAAAGTTCCTGAAAGAAAAGGAGGTCAAGGTGCTCAAGGATTGGCCAGCCCAGTCACCAGACATGAACATTATTGAGCATTTCTGGAGTAAAATGAAGGAGGAGGCATTGAAGATGAATCCAAATAATCTTAATGTACTCTGGGACTCCTGCAAGAACACTTTCTTTGCCATTCCAGATGACTTTATTAATAAGTTATGTGAGTCATTGCAGAGATGTCCGGATGCAGTCCTTACTTCCTTTTTAAATAATTAAAAATCAAGGCATCATTATATTTTATTTTGGTAAAATAAGCATAATCTAGAGCCCTTGCCTTTCATATAAGCCACTTCTGATACCAAATGATCTTCTAAAAGTCAAGTTATTATTTGTTTTTCCTAAAATGTGGATAGGCGATATGACTTTTGTCAGGTGTTGTAAACATAAAACATTAAGATACATAGAAAACATTAATACCTGAGATTAAAAAACAACATCAGAAGTCAATAAGAAGTTCCCACCATGAATAACTAATATGTGTGCATTTCCTTTACACAGTGTTGCATAATAAATGAAAGCGTTTGCTAACCTCAGACAGTCCTACATTAAGGATTCATTAAACGATAGCAAGTCTGCTTCCCATTATGCATCAGATGTTTTGTGATGGATCGATGTGAATGGATTGACTGCTGGTTAAAGCAGTGCTGTCCTGAAGGAAGTTTATTACACCACCTCAAGTGAAATACGGATTTTGTTACCGGCTGAAGGTCCACCGGATGAAAAATGCCATGTTTGACAAAGTGCTGAGTAAGCACTTTGAAAAGATTTGACTCAGGCTATAAAAAATCTTCCCTAAAAAATTGAATTAATTAACGGCTATAGAAATATAGTGTCCTCCAACGATATTGACACCCATGGTAAATATGAGCAAAGAAGGCAGCGAAAAATGTGTTTACAACTTTTTTGATCTTTAGTTATAATATTAACAAAAAGGCCAAAGAAGCTTGAGTTTGTTTTTGGATGATTTGAAGATTTGTTGACGCCAGGTTTTACTTTTTGGAGATTTTATGGCCCTATGACTCATCTAACTTCTGCAGCTCGGAATATTGGAGATTAGGGATCACTAAAACTATCCTACAAACAGTGTATTTGGACAGGATTGACACTCGTCTTACTGATTAAAAGACATCTAATAGGGCGATTGTACTACCCACTGCGCCACTGTGCTGCCTATCGATGTCTATTATAATTGTTAGATATTTATTATCATTTATAATAGGCAAGACATCTATGTTTAGGCATCTATTAGATGTTTTTAAGCTCAAGGAAATGCTTGCTGTGTAATTATTGGCCTGTTGGCGGAAATGAGCATTTTCAGAGTTTTGTTATTTCTCATGATCACTTCCCAATTTGTGAAGTTCAGCATATTTTGCCACAAATCACAATCATCTTGAACTTTTCCATTGTGATCATTGACTAAATGAGTTTGACCCTGTAAAACAGTGGTCCTGGTTTCCTAGTATTTATCCAGTACTAAACATTTTTAACAATCATAATTGTGGCATTCATTTGTTGTTGCTGTTATATTGAGGAAAAAAGGTCTAAAGGTTAAACAATAAAGGTTTTATTTCACAGGCTTCTTTTCTCATATTTACTAGAGAGCCAAAATGATTGCAGGGCACTGTAAAACAAAACGAAAATGAATTGATATTGATGGCCCTGATGGGATGCCTGATGAAGAATGTGTTTGAGTTTGTATCCATCTGCTGTAATTAGCTTAGTTATGAATTCATTCTTCCTAAAAACATTTCTTTGAATGCAATTTTCCATATGTCAGTAGAAATAATATACATAACCCTGAGTGTCCTGCACACACTCACTTTCAAGCTCTTTGTGCAAAAACACACACACACAGGCAGGAGAAGAAGGACATGCCCTTGGTGTGAGGCTACCTGCAGTTAAGGTTAATGAGCACAGCAGAGAGTAGTGCTTACTCAAGTTTGATGCACACACACACGCACATACACAAATGTGCTTGATTCTCCCAATCTTAACATGCCTTCATGACACATATGGTTTGTGTGCATGTGTGTTTGTGTTTTGTGTTTGTCTTAATTGAAGTTTAATTTCCATTCCTGCTGATGTCAATATGCTTTATATCAATCTTTAATTTTCAACACTCACATTTATAATCTCTCGATTGATAGCAAAGCTCTAGGTCTGAGACTGTAAGGCAGCATATCGATAACTGAATATTTATTCTGCCTCGGAGAGTAAGGACTGTACACAGTTCTGAAACAACCAGCAGCATTCTGTATTGATTTTGAAAACACATTTTGATGTTTTTGAAAGAAGTCTCTTATTTTCCCTAATAATGCATTTATGCAGGAATGACATTAAACATTATTTTAAATCTCCTCCTTTCTGTTCTAATATATTTTGAAATTAAATATAATTTACTTTTAACATCCTGCGTTTTTATACTTTTTACTACAGTCACATGATCTTTAGATATCATTCAAATGTCTTGATTTCCTGCAAACATTTCTTATCAGTGATGTGCTGCTTAATTATTTAAGCAAATGTTGTGCTTTTTATTCTTTGACAAATATTTGGAATATATAGATGGATGGATGGATGGATGAATGGATGGATGGATGGATAAATGGATGGATAAATGGATGGATAAATGGATGAATGGATAGGTGGATGGATGGATGGATGGATGGATGGATAGGTGGGTGGTTGGATGGACTAATGGACGGATAGATGGATGGATGGATAAATAGATGAGTTGATAGATAGATAGATAGATAGATAGATAGATAGATAGATAGATAGATAGATAGATAGATAGATAGATAGATAGATAGATAGATAGATAGATAGATAGATAGATAGATAGATAGATAGATAGATAGATAGATAGATAGATAGATAGATAGATGAGTTGATGGATAAAGATAGATAGATAGATAGATAGATAGATAGATAGATAGATAGATAGATAGATAGATAGATAGATAGATAGATAGATGGATAGATGGATGGATGGATGGATGGATGGATGGATGGATGGATGGATGGATGGATGGATGGATGGATGGATGGATGGATTTCTCATTCTATCTCTCATTAATAACAGCACATCTACACACTTCCATTCATTGGAATATTCATTGGTTTCAAACCTTAAATATTGAAAAACTATTTTACACATAAAAAATAGTAATATATACCTGTATATTATAGTTTGCATATCTACACAGCACATAATATATACGATGGTTTACATATATACATGTTTTTTGTATTTAAGGTCTGAAAATTAAATTCATGTATATATGTAATACTTTTGTTTTATATAAGTGAAAAGAATACATATAGAAAATGTTAATTCACCTATTGCATTTACTATTGTGAACTTTCTTAACCCTAAATACACACATCTAACACATGCACTCTGTGGAGTGTGTGTGTGTTGCACTAGAGCTCTTACCTGCCGATCATAGTAGAGTGCTGCTGTACCGCAGCCTCCAGCAACCTCTCCAATATAGTCCATTCTCCCATGATGCCGCGCTTATGACTCTCACTTCCCTGCCGACCTTCAGCCTGAGGTGTCACGACCTCTGCCCTCGGCGACTTTTCCAGTGTCCCTCTGTTGACCTGTGATGAGCTTCTTGGGGCTCCTCTTGAAAGCCGCAGCTGTGTGCGCGTGTGTGTGCGAGCGTTTGCGTCCGTGTCCGTTGGTGTGTATATGTGTGTGTGTCAGGGCAGCACTCTAGTGCGGAGATGAGCTAGTGTAGCATCTGCAGCAGAAAATCTGATGATGCTGAGGCACAGAGACTTCAACCATACTGCATCTCTCAGTCTCTCTCACACACACACATTCAGGGTGCAGGACGCTTCACCTGCTCTTGCATCGTACAGACACCTCTTCTAGCCTTTCCTCCACATGCACACTGAACTGCAGCTCACACACGCTCACTGCTGCCCATTAGTTTCTGAAGAAACACACATGCAGCAGCACACGGGTGATGATGATGGTGATGATGCGGCTCCCTGAATCGCATAGCAACGCCTGAACGCCCCTCACACACACACTCTATCGCTGTGCTCCAGTGTGTGTGTGTGTGTGGCAGCAGCAGCAGGCGAGGATCTTCAAGGTTATGTCCGCTTGAGTGATGAGCTCGTGGTCATGTCTGCGGCAAACAGCTCAGTCTTCCTCAAAGCTCAGCCTCTCTCCTTCTCTCTCTCCACACCTCCAACGTGTTCCTTCGTCTTTGTGCTGCACTGCTGTTGCTGCTGATGATACCTTTCTCTCTGCTCCTCCTCCTCCTCCTTTCTCTCTCTCTCTCTCTGTCACATGCCGTAAGCATGACACCCCCCTCTCTCCATCCCTCCCTCTCTCTCTCTCGCTCTCTTCATCCCAGACCTGCTCTGCTTCCCCTCCCCTCGTCTTTCTCTCCTTCTCCTTTATGCTGCTGTTCAGGATATTTATGTGAGTATGCTGCAGGACTGACACTGGTTTTAACCCCATATTTTACCACATGCACATTTATAATAACACATCTGCATTTTCAGGCTCAGTTTTGAAAGATTTTCCCCCCTTGTATTTAGCGTCAAGAGGATTATTGGAAAATCGTGGTTCTGCTCCGCTTAACTCTATATCTGTATTATTTTGGTCAGCTTAACATATCACTGTTCGTCCCTTTTGTTATTTGTTTTTCATTTTGCATATGTCAAGCCCTGAAGGGTCGAACACAGATTAAGATTTGGAATATTCTGTATATAGACTTCAAAAATGTGATACTGGTCTATAGTTTTCGGCAATGCTCAAAAAATACATTGCATGAGTACAAGTTGGAGATTTTTATTTCGTGCCAACAACCTTTAGAATAATAAGGTCATGCTCCATAAAGATAATGGTAACACTTTACAATAACAGTACATGAATGCCTACGTACGAAGTGGTGTAAAGTAACAAATTACAAATACTCAAATGACTGTAATTGAGTCAAGGGAATTGAAATTCACTAAGTAGTTTTAAAGATGTGTACTTTTACTTTCACTTGAGTACATTTTTAGTCCAGTATCTGTACTTTTACTCCTTCAACTTGCAGTCACTACTTTATTCTTGTCTATGGGGATTAGAAAAATCAGTCCTGTGATTTCTGTCCAATCAAAACACACATAGAAGGTAAATTGCATCATAATGAACTACATCAAGACATGGGCGATTTATTAATCCAGCAAACTGTTTGGAAGCATTAAAAGTGTCTAGGAAGATGTCCAAAACCATTAAACACACTTTGACCCAGAGACTGTTCAGATGCATGTCACTGATGAGAAGATGAAAGATGTTTACTGTATGATCAACAAAATGGCCTTAAACACCCAGCAGGCACAAGACGTCAACATGACACGTCAGAACACATGTCAGGCCGACATCAATGTCTAACGTTCAACCTAAAATCAACCAAATATCAACGTCTAATGATGTTACAGATTTTGTGTGGACGTTACCACTATGACATCTATCAGATGTTAGTAGTTGCCGTACCTGACAAATAAATGTCAGTATTTCACGTCAATATGACGTTGGTTTAAGATGTTGGCTCACTTGGTCACTTTCTAACACAAGCTAAGACCCACCAAATATCAACATCATTTGACGTCATTATTGGACATTAAAATAACTGGCTAGACATTGAATTTTGCTCAGCTGATCTCACAATCTAAATCTAACCTAATATTATGTCTTATGACGTTGTGTGTCTGCTGAGCAAGAACTAAATGCACTACAGAATGTTACGTTTACACACATCTACAAATTACATGCCATACGCCTGCAGTTTGGAAGTATTATAAAGTTGATGCCATAGCAAACTGTAAAATATGAGAACATGGAGTTGTCTGCCGGGTGTTTTAAATTGAGGATCTATTTGTTTGTATATTAGATTTGTTTTATATTTATTGTTGTACTAACGTCTAAAAGTGAAGAATTTATGTTATTTATTACTTGATTGTTCAAGCTACCTCACTGATGTGCTCTGTTTGTTAACAGAGTTGTTGAATGTTAAAATAGGGTGAATTAAATAAAACATAAGAAACATCCTGGATCTGTTTCTTCGCTCTTCTTTAATCTTTTTTTATGTATTATAGAAGTATCCGATCAGGTTTGTTATCGGTAGATATTTAAAATCAAATGACTCAGACTCTGTCTCAAGGGCAAAAAAACCTGATCGGGACATCCCTGGTAGTTAGTGCATTATTGTTTGTTAATTAGTTTATGAATTAACACATTAGTTTATGCTTAATTTAACCACTCTGAACTCATGACATGTACACAGCAAATTCATCAGAGTTAAATTCTCGGTGTTGAAGCATTTTAGAGTAAAGTGTTGACGTTAAAGAGTTAGATTTTGATAAATGAATATAATAAGAGTTAGAATTGATTTTATTCAGTGCGAAATCAAGGAGTTATCTTTTCTACACTTGGTGGTGTTATTTCCAACATCCGGGAATTCATGCAGCCCCAGTCACTGAAGAATTTTCCAGACGCCATTTTCCATCTGAGGTTTAGAACAGCAACTGGTGAGTCAAACTACCTAAATGTTGGTATTTTACTGACTTTCTTTAAGGAAATACAGTTGTAAACCTATTGTTAAGTTAATAACTTTAGAATGGAGTGACAATTTTAAACTTCTGCGGTTCATTCATGGTCGTTTGTATATCTAACGTTAGCTTAACTGCATTACTATTGACTTCTTTTCAAGCATGTTTTTATATATGCTCACGCATACATAGTGCATAAAAACATCAAATGTACATGTTCAACACATTTCTGTCACGCTTAATGCTATTTTGTGCGTTGTTACCCATCTGTAAAATAAAATCGACACTTCTCCTTTAATTCGAAGTAAACTAGCGAGGGAATCCCCGGAGCAGCCTAGCCTACTCTGCCTGGATGCTAACGGCAACACAGGACGGTTTCCATGAGCTCTGGAGTTTCTAAAACATATCTGGTGAGTAAATGAACATGCTTCCTTGTAAAAGGCTTCCTGACTGAAACATGATTGTTTGTTATTCGTGTACGTTAATTTGGTTATTTTAAACACCGCAGCCCTTTTAAACTGGTTCATTCGTGGCCGTCCATATAACGTTAGTCCATAGACTCGTGTGATAACGTAACAGTTACGCTTGAATTATATTAAGTGTTGACAACCATTAAAGTCGGAATGTTAACATTAATGTCTTTAAATGACCGCGTTTGCACTTTCAGACATTTAACGTTACAGAAGTCTCCCGGAAGTTGCGGGACTAACGTTAACGTTATCCCGCAAATGCACAAAGACTCCCAGATGCCCAAGTAGATGCCCGCAAATGAATGATAATCTCCTGGAAATCGCGCGTCTCCCGCCCGGTCATTAAACACTTTGCACACCCCTCTCCACCGCATCCCTCCCAGCTCTTCAGGTACGTCGCGCGCAAGTCACCCCCACCGCTCTTCAGGTACGTCGCGCGCAACTCATCTCATTGCTCTTCAGGTACTCATCTCTCCCGCTAAGTTACCTCCCGCAAATCAACTCTGTATCCCCCGAAAATGACTTTTCCCAACTCGGGATGTCTGACGTTAGTAAGTTAGGCTATTTCTGTAGTCAGGAACATCTTAGTCAAGCTTTTTCTCCCGCATGATATTGTGCTTAAAACTATAGGCTAAACTTAGCATGTACTGTACACAACATTTCCGTTTTATTAAAGACAATTTAGTGCGTTGTAAACAGCCACCTGTCTGTAAAATTAATCAACTGATTCATATTTGAGCAGCCTAATGATGATACAGGTTTGATTTGTAGATTTATTATCAATAATCAACATCTGAATCAAAAGATATCTGAAAAAGTGTGAGGCATACTTTGATGTTTATCTCTTTTATCTGAAGGTTATGCATATGTGTTTGATACTAATGTGTTGTTGTTTTTTAACAGCCACAGTTCTCTATACAATAACACAAGACCCTGTGACGGTGGCTGATTAGAGACGGATGGTGTATTTCCAGAGTTGGTGAAATGACCAAGCACACCTTCTTGGTCATATGTGGTGATAATAATGAAGGTATGTTTGATAAAGTTCTGTATTTGTTTCACAATAAGCTGGCAGGGTATTAGAGCATTAGAGAATAACAAATGACATGAAGGTGATAAGTTTTGTATTGTGGGTGAACTGTTACTTAAATAATGTTTTGCTCTTTGCTTTGCACTTTTCCTCCTCTGCCTATCCTAATATTTTAGATTATATTTGGACCTGAAACATCTGCTAGACTCCAGGAAAGGTGGCGTCAATACTGGACCTGAAAGGGCCTAACAAGTTGAATCTGGTAAAAACACACACGCACACACACATGCACGCACACGCTTACAGAAAACTGTAAGTTTATGAATATTTTTTACACTGTGGCCAATATTTTGGGGAAGTCAGCATCACTAAATGATATAAAAGATTTTAAGCTCCTCTAAATTTTGCTCCAAGTGTTGTGTTAAATTGAGGATTCTGGACAGACAGCTGCCTGTTTTTCCAGTTCTAGTCATAGTGGTTAACCTAATTG